TAGCATCATCATCACAGATTATAATTGTGCCACTGATTACAATGAAAATGAAGCAAACACTTGTGGCTTATTGATAATAACAAGAATCACAATTGCTCTGATGATTCTCATTATTACCATTGCTATGACTATCAGAACTGCGAGTCACTGTGTATCTTCTGGCTGCCAGAGAGGACTCTAGGCTCTTTGCAATAATATCTTATTTAATCCACATATCAATCCCAGGAGTAGGTACTCTGATTGCCTCCCATTTTTGAATTCCTCCCTTAGAGGAGTTTGGTGACTTATCTGAGATGGCAAAGCTAGTAAGAGACAGAGCAGAAATGTAAAATAATCTGGGTCTGGTATGTGAAAATAGCCAGCACAGAAAGACAAATGATACATGACCTCACTCATGTGGAATATAAAAAGGTGGATCTTATAGAAGTACAGAGGCACAGTGGTAGAATCCAGGGTGCCGAGGGAGGAGAATATATAATGGCAGTTAGTGAGGAGGAACACATTTCAAGAACTCTATTAGACAGCAAGGTGATCGTTAACCCTGATGCATTGCATTCTTAGAAAAATGTAAAGAGAGTGGATTTTACATGCAAACATACAGAAACGATAACTGTGCGAGGTAATGCATCTGCCAATTAGCTGGATTAATCCATTCCACAGTATATGCCTCTATGCTTCAAAATACCATATTTAACATAATAAAAATGTATAACATTTTCTGTCGACTTAATAAAGCGACAGAATTAAATTTTTAAAAAAGAGTTAAAACCTAGGGCTTTCCCTCTCACCATGACACATCATGGCTACCTGGAGCCCTGGGTGGGTCTCTGCCATTAGGCATCTGTAGGGTCTGAGGTAGGAACAAGGCCCCCAGGCAGGCCCACCCAAAGAGAGCAGGGCAGGTAGACAGTAGAGTTAACTATGGAAGAAAGAGCCGTTCCTACTGTAACCAGCACTAACCTGCTAATCAAACCAGGCCAAATCATGTCTGAGGCAATTGTCTGGGCAGCCTTCAGAGACTCACCCAGCCTGAGAAGCCAGCCAATTATGCCTGATCATTCTCTGCAGCCCTGTCCTTACAAAAGACAAGTCCAGACCGGCCCAATGTAGACAAATGAGCAGTTCTATTATCTCTGAAAGGCAATCTAATTCCCTTCAAATTTAAAAGTCTCCACAGTATCCTAACAGGCCTCAGTGGGGGCACGTGTAGAAATTAATAAGTTCACGGTGTGCCCAGCTTGGCTTTCATTATCATTTTTTTGCCATGCAGTGGACAGGATTTCCATTATTACTCAAGGATTTTTCTGTATCTGATTCTCTAAGAAGGTCAAGTCTATGGAGCTCACACTCTGGGCTGAGAATTGAGACTCCACTGAAATTTGAGGGAGGTTTTCCTGTTCAGGTGGGGCAGGGATCAAAAGGCAGTATCAGAGGGGACAGGGAACTCATTCTGGCCCACGCTGGTCTGCTCTGGGATACTGGGCAAGTTATGCAGCAGCCTCAATATGAGTCAGGGGTCTCCTCAGTGACATAAGCAGGGAGGAGGGTCTGGAAAATGAAACTCAAAGTTGTCAAATTTCCACGTTTGAATCATCGCAACCCGTGTCATAGACAGGCTTTAAATTCCATCCAACAATGTTGGAAAGCCTGTATTATTTGACAGATAATGACAGGGAGGCTACTCTGCCGTACCATCCCTAAATCATACCATCAAAATGACTCCTATGTGATTCAGGGAACAAGGACTCATATGGGTGTAATAAGATCGAAGACTCACACTTTTCAGGAGAGCAATTGAACACATTTCAGCAACTTTAAAACGCTTGGCCAATTCATTCCAATCATGAAAAAAATCTATCCAAATGACAGAATCTGAGATCTGGGCACATGTTGCCATAACAAAGAAATGAAAGCAGACAAATTTCCCATCAGCTAGAGAATGGTAAGCCTTAGAATTACTCATTAAGTTAAAACTCACATAGCCATTTTAAATAGCTGCAGAAGAATATTTAATAAAATGATATATTCCCTTTATTTTAGTGGGAAAAATAGGGCAAGTATTAATATTATTAAACTGGTTGATTTAATTGTTTTATTTCATTTGGTACATGGTATTATTAGTGTTATTTAACTAAATAATGTTAATATGAAATTTTAATGTACTATGAGATGGGATCATAATTTTTAAAAAAGTAGAAAAGTGACTGAAAGGAAATACACTGAACTGTTAATGCCTTTGCTTTTTTGTGTGTGTTTCACTAGATTTTTCACATTTTCTATATTCAATGCTTATTATGTCACGAGCAGGCGATATAAAGGCTGTTTGATATCCCTGCATTTTGCACTATGTGCACAATGCAATGACAACTTTTATTTAAATGACAATCATCTGCGATTATCATTAGCCATTGCAGATGATTGTAAATGAGATTACAGCAGAATATATATGTAAGATTTTTTTGTGCCAAAAATAAGTTTTTAAAGAGGAGGAATGGATAAGAGAAACAAGACAGAGCAAAAATGATAGAGGCTACTGTCTTCCACAAAGCTTATGGCTCACCTCATGGGCTAAATTGAAAATGAAGACCCTAGGGAAAGTGGAAGAAAACTGCCCCTCGATGCATGAGTGGCTGATAAGGGTGGGGAGTGTGTGGGGGGAGACTAAAAGCTTCTGTTGACTTGGAGGAGTGATAGAGCCGACAGATATGAATTTTTCAATTTTATGAGAATGATAGAGATCTGAAATAAATCTCCAGTATTTTCTTTTTAAGATAAATGTTTTAAAATAAATGCTTGCAGCATGGATGGATGGATGGCTAGTGCCTGTGTCCTGTCCTGGAGCTTATCATAAATAACATTGAGAAAAATAGCTTTGACCATTCTAGAAAGCACCTTTATTTTTTATTCTTACAAACTCAGAAGATTACATTTTGATGCATTAAGCTAGATTTTTTTTTTTAGGGTAGCTGCAAATAATACCTGGAGTACAGAAATTGTCTTTAGTTGGAAATAACTACTCAGGGCTTGGCTTAGGAATGAACCTCGGTTTCAAGATGAATCCGAAAAACTGTGGGCATATCCAATGGTCAGAATACAAATTCATGTTTGATGGGCTTCTGATTTAACAAATCCTTTGGTGAACTTTCAGGTAGAACTTAATTGTCCTTTAGCCCTACAACTCAGAAAGTTAAATAATCTTTTGTAAACATAAGATTTTAAATATCATATTTTCTTGAAAATTTTATTGCTCTACTCTGGTTTGTACATCAGAGAGCTTATAACTACTGTAGACTTCAGCTTCTCTGCTCGGAATTGGATGAGAGCATTAAGGGTTGACATAATGAATAGTCAGACACATCCCTCATCTTTTATAGTGTTAGCCTCATTACACCGAAATGACTTAATGTCATCAGTTTACTTCCCTTTAGTTTACTCCGTTATGTTCCAAGGAGTCACACACTTGATAAAAGCTGAATGAGCTGAATGGTTGAAAGGCCTCTCCACAGGAGCTTTGAGACAGGGGCATTGCTGCAATGGGCATGTGATGTGGAGGAAGCCACAATTCAGCTCTGTATTTCAGATCCAATTAACCAAGATAAATTGGAATCCTCATTTTTTAATGTTAAATCTTCCAATTTCTAAATGTCTTGACTGGTTTTTAAATGCACAGACATTTCTATGACCCAAACATTTTGAATAATATTTGTTTAAAAATCTCCTTTCCAAGGGTTGCTAAGAATTGATGATTAATCCCAATACCTATTAGTTATCTCCAAGAAAGGACAAGTTGGAGTATCCTGAGGCTGGCCCAGAAGGTTTGGGGAAGAAGCCTCCTCTTTAGTGGAAAAGATTGCATAGGTGATTGGTTGAAGGATATCTGGAAGATGTTTTAAAGTACCCGGATTCTAAACCCCCATGGAAGTAAGATAGAGCCTCTGAGAGTCTAGAGTGTCTTTCTTTTGTCTTCAAGGATGCTTTTGGGTTTATCTTCACATAATGCTGACTGGAACCTACCCCACCCCTCCTTACTTTATAATGTTCCATAATGAAAAAGGGGCCTGCCCAAAACTTATCTTTTAAAAGTGCAAAAGAGCCCACTTTTTTCTTGCCCAAGTGGTTCATAGTGAAGCAGACAAACTGTCAGAAAAAATAGACTTCATCATGGTGAAAACCTCTGCCTGGCACCCATCCATCATAAAGCAATCTTCTGGAAATTTTGAATACTTTCATTAAATTTCCTGTCTTTCTTCTGACAGTTATAAAATGTTAACAATATTACTCACAAAGCAGGGATCTTCAGAAATTCTTTGTCCAATCCCTTCTACCCATCCCCCATCTCCTTGTCTTTGCCCAAATCTGTAGAAACATGTGAAATAGTGATACCCTGCACGTACCCGTCCTGGGACCCCATGCTTGCAGGGGGTCAGAAGGGAGCTATAGTAGTCTTGATAATAGTTGGAAAGCTCTCTAGCCACAAGATAAAGAGGGAAACTTTTTTTTCCTTCTGATTCCTCCTCCAAGAGCCACATACATATTTAAGTTCAAGGGCCTGATCTTGTCCTACCCTTAGCAAATATTTCCTCATCCTTTTTCTTTACCTTTTTCTCTTGCCAGGGTAATAAGCGACAATTCTCAACTTATCCTTGATCCATGAGTTGTGGTGACAGCATGACACATATTTTACCATGTCTATGGGTTAGTAAGATAAAAATGTTCTTAACAACGTTACTAGTTTAACTCCGACTTCAGGGGCTACTTCAGCAACTTACCATTATGAAGAAAGAGCTTTTTGCCTTCGTGGCAATATGATGGGGGGAACCGCAAAGAGATACAGAATTCATACAAGAAGTGAGAAGAGGCACACGGCATTGACACCTTGGGCTGATCTAGGACACACACAGAATGTAACCATAGCTATAAGGCCTTAGCCTGGCTTCTCAGAGGTTTCACAACACATCTCCAAAGCAAGTCAAGTGCAACATACAAAACCATCATCTTACCTGCAAAAGGAACTGGTGCATCTTTATCCAGGGCTACCAGTGGTGGATCCAAAATGACTGTGTCATTGTTCTCAGTTATGACTCCGTGATAAGAGGTCTCGATCCATGGCTTATGCTTGTTAACTAGAGAACAAATGGAGAAAAACAGAACAAAGCAAGAAGATCATCATGTGAACAATTAGCCCATAATAATATTCATATTGCACATTTTCCCAACTACAGGTTCCCATCCAACAATCCCAGGAGGACCATGTTAGACCACTGGATACCCAGCGAAGCTTCAGAGCATGCACAGAGGACTTCCACAGTTCACCCCAGCTACCTCTAAGCTAAACAGCAGTACAAAGACTCAAACGTTTTCATCTCTAAGACTATGGACCTTCTAACACATCAAATCCCATTGTTTCGATTTCTCAATGCCCAGTGTACAGATTATTAAGAATTGATACAAAATTTAAATTTTCAAATCCCACTCTCTGTTAATAGATGTTTCAGAATCCATTATCAATCAACAAACTGACAGGTTGTGGCTGTGTATGCTGGAATTTCTGACGTCAACCTAACTGGACCCATCCTGAAGAGCTATTGACATGCACGTATACATAATATATACATATGTATAAGTACCAATATGTATGTAATGATGTAACAAACGTTTTAGTATTTTCTGACCATCTAAAGACTATCTAAACGGCTTAAGTTATCTAGCAACTTAAGTTATTCTTCAATAAATTGATGAGCTAAACGATGCATTATCTGATGAATAAGTAATACACTGAAATATCTAACATTATAGGTTGAATTTTGTCTACCTCCAGAAAGAAAGGTTGGCATCCTAATCCTCAGTACCCATATTTGGACACAGGTCTTTATAGAGCTGGTCAAGCTAAAATGAGTGCCCTAGGTAGGGCCTGATCCAACATGACTGGTGTCATTATCAAAAGGGGAAATTTTGATGCAGAGACAGACACCCACAAGGGGGAATGCCAGGAGGACAGGAGCTATGCTGCCACAGGCCAGGGACCTTCTGGGAGCTGGGAGAGGAACCTGGACTATAACTTCCTCTAGCACCTTCCCAGGGAGCGCGGTCCTGCAACACCTTGATTTTAGACTTCCTGCCTGAAGAAGAGCAGGACAATAAATTCTGTTACTCTAAGATAATCAGCTTGGGGTACTTTGTATGGAACCCTGGAAAATGAGTATAATATGCTTATAGTCAATGGTTGCTAATGATGGATAGAGAATGGAAATTAGACTTTCGCCAGGATTTGGTATGATACGCCTATGTAGGCCTCTTATCTGTTCCACATCCAATGTCTGTCTATTCTGTCTCCTTCGTATGTTTCATCTGAGTCAAATGCCATCTGGATCATTGCAGTAGCCTTGTGAGTGGTCTCACAGTAGAAAATTCTAGGTCCACCTAGTCTACCCTCCACACTTGCCTTAGGAATGATCTGAAAACCTGCATCTGGTAATTCAACTGAGACTCTTCTCTCTTTATTCAGTCCCCACATAGCCTCACAGAAGCACAAGGTAAATGATTTAAAAACAAAATAACAGGTTAGAGGGAGACCTAGGATAATCATTATACCAATGCCAACTTTCACTCCCTCTTCACAGTTTCAAAGTAATACTCCCCAGAGCACCCTGAGACATAGCATGATCACTGTAAAGCCCATGAAGAAATTAACGCCTTGAGGTGTGACTTTCCCAGGACAGCCATGTGGTCAGTAATTATTAAGTGGGAAGACCAAAAATCTCTTTTCAAATTTTATGATATCCCAGACACACCCATGCACACACACCCACGTGTATTATGATATATGTGCAATACACATACTATATGTATTTCATTATGAATTTTTCAATGACTTGCAAAGCAAGACCTTATATAACTTAGAACAGCTCTGCACAGAGTCCCCTGCACCTTCTCAACCCAACATCCTTCAAAAGGCCACTGAACAGCTGTCCCAGGATTGGAGGGACCACCATTTTCCTCTTCCTTATCCCTTCCCAGCAATCACAAACTAACTGGGAGGCAATCTGTGGGGCAGGGACATATGCCTAGCCAGTCTCAGGTCTTGGCTCCTGAGATCCCTTTCTATTGCTTGAACCAAGCCCAGGATGGAGAGCAGCTCTGCCCGCTGCAGGTGTGCGTGGGGCAGCAGGCTCATCCATTCTTGCATTTTGGCATTGAAACTGGTGCTTCATTATGAACCCTGGAAGAATTACAGCCACCCTGGGATGTCCCCACACTCCTTTACTCTTTTATTAGCCATCAACACAAATGCAATGTAAATAATTTGCAGCTGTTGTGAGAATCAATTAATCTCTTTTTTTCCCCTTAATTAAACCAAGGGGCCTATTCATTAGAAATGTGTACAAAGCATACGCCAGGAGCTCACCCAGGGTTTCAGCTGCATTGTGTCACTTGGCTCAGGGCAGGCAATGGAATCTAGGGTCACTATTCTTGGTCTCAGTCCTGGCTTAGGTGAGTTAGGCAGGCCCTCAGAGTTCCCTCCACTGTAAAACAGGGATGATGACATTGTTCAGAGGGCCCTCCTGTCACCCATCTCGTGCTGGACTCCCATTCTCTACCCTTTTATGGCTGACTTCCTTCCTATCTCTGGACAGAGGTAATATATGGACCAACTCTAAAGCTCATCAGAGGGATTGGGTTGATTTCTTGCTATCATGGGATACCTCCCTTGACTTTTCACTGCTACAGTTCCTTGGGTGCCTATTACAGATTACACACATATATTCATTAATCATCACAACAACTTGAAGGGGTATAAATGTTCCCAAATGTTCCCAACTTCCTACTTCCCTCAGACTTGGGTGGACTCTTGTTTTATCAAGGTTTACAAAGATTCACATTTTGATGTGTAAACAATCTATTTGAAAGGAACCCCCTTTGTATATCTTTTCATTTTCTGACTTTAATAATTGCTCTCTTATTTATAATTGAGGAGTAAAATAAAGGACTTCTCCAACCATGTTTTAGTTTTGAAATCATCCTATTACTCATTCTTTTTTGATGACTTTTTTTTTTATTTGCTCTTTTGAGATACCCATGACAGCAGAGTGTACCTTGACATATTATACATACAAGGAGTAAAACTGATTTTAATTAAAATCTTATTCTTGGGGTTGTGCATGATGTGGAGTTCTCTGGTGGTGTAGTCATTTACAAATACAGGAAAGTGATGTCCAATTCATGCTACTGTCTTCCCTATTCCCATCCCCCTCTCAATCTTTTTTGTAAAATGGAGATACGTCTTTCTCAAAACTCCTGTGAAAATTGCATGAGATAAATATGGACAGATGCAGGACCTCAGTTCGGAGCAGGCATTGCAAAACTCTGATGCCCCCCTCGTCTGTTTCATGCTCCTGGGTAGCTAAAGTGTGGCCTTCTACTCTCTGAGATATTTAGTCCAGCTTCACTCATGCAACAGATATTCATGAAAGCCCTCAAATATATAGAAAATATCCTAAGCCCTGAAGTCAAATGGGGGAGAAAAAGTCCTTGAAAAAGGCATTTGACAAAATTCCCTAACCATTTCTAATTAAATGTGAGGAACAGAGGGAGTGACTTCAACCTGATAAAGAATTGTACAAATACTGACAGCAAATGGCATGCTTAATGTTCAAAGACGGAATACTTTTCCCCTAAGAGAAGGAAGAATTCAAGGCTGCCCACTCTCTCTACTTCTATTTACATCACACTGGAAGTTCTAACTAGTGCAATAAAACAAGAAGAAAAAAAATCAGTTTGGAAATCAAACAGAAAGATTGACTTCATCCATAGAGAACATAAAAATTCTATACAATAAATATGCCATTAGAACTAATAAGAGCATTTAGGAAGGTCATAGGATAGAGAGTCAATGTGTTAAACACCGATGGCATTTCAATGTATTAGCAATAAACAATTGAAAATTTATATATAAAAATATTATAGTAGCATCAAAAGTCATGAAAGATTTGTAACAACTTTCACGAAATGCATGTAAAAAAACTGAATGGGTCTTAGAGGAGTGATAGACAGTGTTCATGATTTGGCAGATTCAATATAATTAAGAAGTGAATTTTTCCAAAAATTGATCCACAGATTCAAGACAACTCCTATCAAAATGCCAGAAGGACTTTTTTAAAAAAGAGAATCTAATTCTAATATTTATATAAAGAATGAAAAAGGCCTAACATAGTCAAAATAATTTTGGAAAAGAAGAACAAAGTTGGAACTTTACCTGATTTTTAAGGCATCTCAAAGCCACCCCAATCAAGATAGTGTGAAATTGAGAGAAAGATGGACATAGAGATTGGCATTAAATAATGAAGTCTAGTCATAAATAGACATGGATGCAGTCAATTCATTTCTGACAAAGGTGTCATAACACTTCAATGGGAAGAAGGATCGCCCTTTCATTAAATGCTGCTGGGGGGAAAGGCAGGGGAAAGAAGAGAAGAAAAACAACTTCCACTCTACCGTGCATCATTCACAAAATTATCTCTAAAAGGATCAGAATCCCTAAATGTAGGAGCTAGACTTTACTTTTAGCCTTTGAAAGAAAGCAAAAAACAAAACTTTAGTGGTTTTGGGTGGGCAAAGACTTATTAAAGGGGACCAAAAAAAAAAAATGAATGACGAAAGACAAATTGAAAATGTCAAATGTTTTAAAAATTGTGAAATGGTATTCTTTGAAAAACATGTTTAATAGAAATAACTTAAAAGCCATAAACTGAGAGAAAATATTTGTAAAATATCTCATAAAAGACCTGCATCCAAAATATATAAATAACTCTTTAAATTGAATAATGAACAATTACATTTTTAAAATGAGCAAAAATCGAACAAATCTGTTGCCAAAACAAATATATGAGCAGCAAGCAGGAACGTGAAGAGACACTCAACAGGGATCAGGAGGGACATGCACAGGAAAGCCACTGAGGGATATCACCACATGACCATGTGAATGGCTAGCAAGGTCAATAATTCCAAGTTTGGACAAAGCAACTGGAACTGTCATGCATTGCTAGTAGGAATGCAAAATACTACAGTCACTTTGGAAAACAGCCTCATAGTTTTTTGGTTTTGTGTTTTTTACAGAATGACTGGT